CCTAGGACGGGACGGCGGGCGTTTCAGCGCTTTCGCGTACTGAAGTGGTTGCGCCCACAAACCGCAGCGATTTGTAAGTCGGCGACGGCTGCCGTCAGACTGGCCAATGGGATGTCGGCGGCTGCTCGACCAACAAAGCGCCTGACTTGCACCACATCGCCGCCACAACTACTTTCCGAATTTTCGGAGAAGCAGCGTCACTCTGTGTGACTTAGTGTCAGTTCAGCCGGTGAAAGTATCGGCGCAGTCGTATTTATATTTTATTAACTTTGCTGGTGCCGTGGTAGCGAAACCACACGTCTTTCCGTTCCAACATGCGCGGCGTACAGCGACGTTCAGCGCCGCTAGCCGTCCCCTTCCTCCTCCTGTCCTCGCTGGTCGTCACTCACTGTTCGGCATACGGCTATGGGCGAAGAGACATAAGATACGAAGGTACAATGCCGGTCTTGACAGTTATATGTCGTGATATTGATGCGTGTGATCGTATCATGAGATCAACATGCCTGACTGTGAATCCGGTTTGATTTATTTATTCATTTCTTTACGTATACGATTAAACCTGGTGCTGATGTCCGTACTCAGCCATCAGGTTTGCCAAGGCGAAACGCGAAATTATGTGCTTACGGCGGATAGTACGGTCTTGTATCTAGCATGCTCTGGCATAACCGCACCTGAACATCATGCTCTGCATATAATTTATTAGTGAATGGCTTGGTATTTATTAGTGAACATCTCGGTATATTATTGCACTGAACCACAGCGGGTTGAATGTTTTATTCAAGGGGGTAGCCGATTTAATAATGAATTCTTTTATGCTGCGCATGGGGCTCTTTGCGTCTTAAGGTTTAAGGTAGCACCGGGCCCACTGCCCTCTGAATCGCGACGACACGCAAATTGCCTTGCTCGTCTAGAAACCCACTCCCTCATCAACTCGCCGCACTTCGTCAAACCTTATTTAATTTTATTCCTGTACATTCACGTCCATTCGTTCCTGATTTTGCTTTTTCACTACACTCGTCGATCGTTGTATACCGATCCCTGTTTGCTACTGCTCCATTTATTTGCTCTATTTGTTCCTGAAATCTTGTCTTGATATGGTTGAAGATAGCATCGAAAATTTATAAACACGAAATGCTTGTAGATATAGAAATTTTCACTCGTTTAGATTTGATAAACTGTTAAAGTCTATAACAAGTCTATATTGTGACGCATGACATTTCCACTTGTTCATTTGTCATATAGGAAACCAGTCAAGCAGATATACAACTTAATCAGAAAGTTAGTTTAGGGTGGACAAGCGTCTCTCCAGGTTTCCTTCAGCAAATGGTGACAAGAAGCTTGTGGATTTCGTAAAGTTTTGAGACGTCCAAGATAAGTCAAATAGCAAGACTAGCGTTTTGTCACTCCAGGCACGTCACAGAGCGGTAATAACAAAACTGAAATTGGATTACTCCCAACTACATCCGTAGAAATGGCTTTTTTGGGTAGTTGCGTATTACTGTTCTAATCAGCTTCATGCCCTGTTCTACACTGTACAGTATGCAGTTTTTTTCACTTTTGAAACCAGTGGTGTAATTTGGTGTGACCTCAACATTGCTAAGTGAATTCTTTTAACTGAACTACCTCATCGGTAGTTGCTAAGCGCTGACTGGCGTTGGCCAGTGCAAAACGATAGAGCAGGGTAATTGGGCAAAAGTTGGAGTGTCCTGAGGTTTTCAATGAGAATACGGTTCGTCGCGACCATAACAGCTGTCACTGAGTGTTTATCATTAACTTATGCATGTCAGTTGCTATCGAGAGGATAGCCATGCGGTGGGTGGACTAGAAAGGTCTGCCTGTAACCTCAGTTATGGGCAGCACTGAATTTTCATCATGAAATTAGCTGCGACGGCTTTCCGGTATTTTTCCACCTTCTTCAGAGCCATTGTTAATGCAATATTCAGATAAAACATAGTCAAATGAGTAGCAAATGCTGCGCAACATCCTAAACGTCATGCTTATTGAAAGCCACGGTCGACCTTGACATGTGGGGAATATGTAGGATTCAACTATAGCTTTGTACGATCAATCTTTGAAACTGATGCCGCCCGTAATGCGGAACCTTTCCTTCACAATGTTCAATACTGAGATGGCGGATTTTTTTTCACCAGAACTTACTGCGCTCACTGAGTAGTAATCTGTCATTGCCCAGATGTTCACATTCAACAGTTGCTGCATTTGAGCGTATATAAATGCTAGGCATGATGATGCGACTACTGCTTTCGTACTGGTGTGTTACCA